GGGGGTTACAAGACTGATGGACTGGCTTAAGACTTTGAAGAAGGAAGCACAAAAAAAGGAGCCTATGGGGGTAGGGGTCCAAATTCTAGAGTCCACCTTAGTGGGGTCTAAGAAAACATTATCAAGAAGTTTGAGGAGGCTCGAAATACTATCGAGGTTTGAGTCCCTCACAGCCCTTCTTAGACACAGGTTCCACCCAACCCCAGAATTGGAAGAGGAAGGGGTGATGAAAGAAGAAACTGGCTCATTTTTAAAATCAGATAAAGCATACAAATAAGGAAACTGGTCCTTTAGAGGGGCATTCCCCACCCAAGTTTGTTCCCACAATTTTATGGAGTTACCTGAATTCAAATCATACCCGATAAGAGGGGAGAATACTGGTAGCAAATCATGAATGGCTTTCCAAGGTGAAGTGCTTGTGGTCCTAGCTCTGATTCCAACATCCCATCCATTGTACTCCAACCCATGTATGCTTGCCACTATTCTAGCCCATAGCTTCTCCTGCTCCAACGGGAACCTCCACAACCACTTCCCTAGAAGGGCCATATTCCTTTCTCTAATGTTCCCAAGCCCCAAGCCACCACAGTTTTTACTCCTGGTCACCACCTCCCAGCTAACTCTATGATCCCTCTTCTCCTCTCCTGGCTCCCAAAAGAAATCTCTCATCATCCTCTCCAATCTGCTAGAAACCTTCACTGGGATTTTGAACACTGATAGGAAATAAATGGGTAAGTTTGCTAGTGTGGCCTTAATCAGTGTAGTCCTTCCACCAAGAGAAAGGTAATTCTTTTTTCCAAGAGACAAGTCTCTTTTCAAATCTTTCCACCACCAGGTTGCAGAAGCTCTCTCTCTTAGGGTTATCACCTAATGACAACCCTAGATAATTCAATGGCCAACATGAAACTTCACATCCTAGCACTTTTGCACTCTCCCTAATCTCTCCCTAATCTCTCCCTTCTCCATATTCACACCACTACACAACTTTTCCCGGAGTTCACCTTCAAGTTTGACATTTGCTCAAAGAGTTGTATCACCAATTTCATGTTCCTGATGAAACTCACATTACCTCCTTCACAAAACATAATCGTATCATCAGCAAACTGTAAGTGAGTGAGGGAGGTTTCCTCCCTTCCAACTCTCCAACCTCTAATGAGACCCCTAGTGTTTGCTCTGTGAATCAATTTCCCCAAAAAAGAGATAGGGAGTCTCCTTGTCTTATACCCCTAATGGATGGAAAGAAATCTACCACTGACCCTTTCACTAGCACTGAATAATGACAATTTTGAACACAACCCATGATCCATTTGCACCATCTAGCCCCAAACCCAAATTTGGTCATAACTTTCCTCAAAAATTCCCAGTCCACCAAGTCATAAGCCTTTTCCAGATCCAACTTACAGACCACTCCCTTCTTTTTATCCTTCTTGAAGTTCTCCACACTCTCATTAGCAATGAGGATTTGATCAGTAATTTGTCTTCCACTCAGAAAAGCTCATTGATTTTGTGCAATGATGTTTGGCAATACCTCCTTAAATCTCAAAGACAACACCTTTGCAATAATCTTATACATGCTATTTACCAAACTAATTGGCCTAAAGTCCTTTGGATGGGAAGCATCTTTCTTTTTTGAAATCAAAGCTATAAAAGTGGAGTTCACACCCGGATTAACAATTCCTCTCCTATGAAACTCCTCAAAAACCAACAAAAGGTCATCTTTCAAAATATCCCAACAGTCCTAATAAAAAGCCATTGTGAACCCATCCGACCCTGGAGCTTTTGTTCTATCCATAGAAAACACAGCCTCCTTGATCTCTTCCAAATCAAACCTTCTTTCCAACCTTCTCCTATTATCCACCCCTACATCTGGCCAATCCAATCCTTCTACCCACACCCCTCTACTTACAGGCCTTCTTAGAATGGATTTAAAGTGCTCTACACATGCCCAACTATCTCCTCTTGTTGTATTAACTCAACTCCATCTACTACCAATTTTAAGATAAAGTTCCTCCTTCCCCTTCCATCTGCCAAAGAATGAAAATACCTGGTGTTTCTATCTCCCTCTTGCAACCATTTACACCGAGATTTTTGCCTCCAACTTATTTCCTCCTTATGCAGGTAGTCCTCTAACTGTCTTCTCAAACCTCTTCTAAGTTCATTGTCTTCCTCTCCAAATTTTCCCCTTTCTTCTTTAGAGTCAAGGCTTCCAAGTTGGTCCATCAGAGCTCTCTTTCTTTCTTCTATCCTCCCAAATTCCAAAAGATTCCACTCCTTGATCTTTGCTTTCAAAAATTGTAGTTTCTTATGGAATCTCATCCCCTCCCATTCCACCATTGGGTTACATTCATACCACCACTCCCTTACTCTATTGGTAAACCAAAGATGGAGTAACTACATATTTTCAATTGAAAGGGGCAAGTCCTCCACTCCTTTCCTCCTTGCATATCACTATGGGCCAATGATCAGACGCCACCCTAGGGAGAGCTCTAGAAGCCAAGTTCCCCCAATTTTCTTCCCAGTCCAGAGAGAACAGGAAACTATCCAGCTTGGAGCAGATGGGCCTAGATTGGATATTTGACCATGTACATGTCTTGTGGGCTAGAGGTATCTCCTTAAGCTCAAAGGCATCCACAAACCTGTTAAACTTCCTCATGCTAGTTGTCACCCTCTGATTAGTCTTATTGGTTTCCTCCGAGTATCTAATCACATTGAAATCCCCACCCACACACCAGGGCGCATCCCACAACCCTCTGACATCAGCCAATTCCTCCCACAATTCCTTTTTCTCTCTGTAGTCATTTGGTCCGTAGACATTTGTAAGCACCCACACATAACCATCCTCTTGTTGCTTAAACTTCACAGAAGCTGAGTATTTTCCAATCAACTCTTCCAAGCCTTCAACCACATCCCTCTTCCACATTGTTACTATCCCCCCTGAAGCACCCCACGAGGGGGCAGCCACCCAACTAATCCCCCTAGCTTTCCATACACTCCTTGCCCATCTATTATTAAACTCCATTCTCTTGGACTCCTATAATAGAACAATGTCTGGGTCATACCTCTTTATTACCTCTTTTATTGTCGCTCTTTTCCTCACACTTCCTATTCCCTTCACATTCCAACTAAGTATTTCCATTCTCACTTCTTTCTTAATTCCCTTCTTCACCTACCCACTACTTTCCCCCTTTCCTTCTATCTCTTTTTACCCCGAACTTCTTATCACCTTCCACATCTCTTTTTAGTCTCTCAACTTCACTCAATTTTCTCTTCTTTGTTCTGATCTCCTTCTTCCTCTTCTGTAAACCTTCTTTCAGCATATTCAAATCTTCCAACCTACATCCCAACTTCCCCACAAATTTTGCTATCATGTCCTCTTTCACAGATTCCTCCACCACTGTCCTTTCTACATATTCCCCTCCACCTCTGCCCACCTTTCCTTCCCTCCTCTCTTCTGATCCCTCTCCTTTTCTCTCCTCTCCATCCTTCCTCCCTATCCTATTACCTCCCTCCTTCACCGTTCTCTCCACATATTCCTTTCCAACTCTGCCCACATTTCCTTCCCTTCTCTCCACTGATCCCTCCCCTCTTCTCTACTCTCCATCCCTCCATATCAAATTTCCTTCCACTTCATTAAATACTCTTTCAATAATTTCCCACACTTTCTCATTCCTATACCTCCCTTCCCGCACCCCCACTGTCCTTCATTCCCCTCTCCATAACCTCAGAAAACCCACCATCTTGATTGGCTGCACATACATGGGATGCAAGACATGGAGCAGGAACGGAATCTGGAACAAAGGACACAAAAAACACATTAGTAGCACAAACCGAATTCATTTGGTTACCTGGGTTTGATAGAAAGGTTGGAATAGGACTGTTCCTGGCCTCCCTTTCTTGTTCTAGAGGTTGGTAAATGTCTACCTCCCTGAGTTGGTTGGAAAGTACTTCTGTCCTTTGGTCACCATGGCGATCTTTCCTCTCTACCCCTGGTTCACCCCTAGATGGGGTGTTCCTGCTCTGCTTCAGGTTCTCCCAATTTACCCCTTCTTTTGTGCCTTGCACATTCTGTAATCTTGGGGATGAGTTATTTCGGTTAAAGCCTTTAGCCCTACTTGTTACAAGAAGTCCAGGACTTCTTCCTTCCTCTGTCTGATCTTTTAGGCTGCCAGTTTCATGCCTCCATGTTTCCCTCTATGTCACCCTGAAATAGGCTTGCAATGTTCCACCCACCCATGTCACCTACACCGTAGCCATCTTCATCATTTACACTGCCAATGCTAGTACCATCATCTAAGCAATCATCCGATTCTTCATCTCCTACACTACATTGCACCCAACCTTCACCCGTCTCCTCCCTCTCTTTGGCTCTCTCCCTTGCATATCTTGGGTTCGACCTCTTTGAGAAGCGTCACAAGGAGCTAAACTCTTCAAGGTTTCGGCAGGGGACCCACTGTAAGTTCCCCTGTTTTTCCGTATTACACTACTGCGAACAGTCCCCAACCTTCCTCGCCATCTGGGACGATGATAGACCGTTACTATTGTCTAGAGTCGGTCTTTGGATCATCCCCTTGCCCCGACCCACGTGACCTCTTAAGTTGTCACGTGGGTCATTAAAAGTGCCCCGTTTCAGTATTAGACCCACCCACATGACCTTTTAAGTTGTCACGTGGGTCCTTAAAAGAGTGCCTCGGTTCAGTATTCGACCCACCCGACCCACGCACATGACCTTTTAAGTTGTCATGTGGGTCCTTAAAAGAGTGCCCCGGTTTAGTCTTCAACCTGCCCGACCCACCCAACACCTCAATTGGCTCGGACTAGGCCATTTGGCGCCCTAGACCGTTTAACTTCTTCGCCACGTCAGCAAAGGATGAAGACCATAGACATCCAAAGAATCACTCCCTCTGTCTTCTAATTGTCAGATTTGATGTTCCTCCAGCCTTTAACTGGACATATAAGACCATAGACATCCAGGTGTACTAATTGAAAAATCTTTGACACGGTTATTTATTTTAGGTAGAAGGAAACACAATTATGTTTGCTAAGCTAAAATGCTTCACTCTCAAGTGACTTTAAGTGACTCAATAAAGGAACTGAAATCTTCAATTTCTACAATGACAGATAACCAAGACAACAGTATTGTTAATGAGTGGATGAGACACATAAAGATGGATAAAAAGTGACCAAGTAATTCAACAACTTAGTTAATTTGCTAACAAACATTAAATTAAAAGGAAATTATGGGACCTATCATGTGATCTGATGTTCCAGGGTCTACAAATGTAGAAATGAAACAAGCAGAGTCAATACCTGGCTGGGCTAGAGTAGTAGTGGATGAGAAGGCCTAGGAGTAAGACATCATTCATGCATACTCCTTAGAGATGGTAGTCATTTCACTGGCTGCATGGGGTTGAATCTGTTCTAAGTGTTGGTGGGTACAATATTTGCAACCTATATTCCTGATACGTGACATGATTAACAAACCTATCCAATTTTCTGTTGAGTACATGGAAAAGCTCTACATTATGGCCTTCTTTCCCTCAATGTAAGCAAATCCTAACACCATGTAGGTAGTAAATAGCGTGATCTTCTCTCTCACAATACATGCAATACCTACCAACTCTTTCTCAACCAGATGTATCACCACCATGTCTTATGCATAACACCCTCTACCTCCATCTACTGCCCCATGATTGGCACCACAGCAAGCACCATAAGCAGCTCCCCTATCACAACAAAAGATGACTGGTTAAACACACTAGAACTCCTAGGCCCAGAATGGAGGCTCTATGAAGCCAAGAGATTATGTATGAAAAGATGGCAACTCCAAATTTCCTAAAATTTGTGCTCTTACAAGCTCATAATCAGCTCTAAGTCCACATAAGAATTTGGCCACATAGAAATCATCATGCTGCTTCATCATCACTCTTACATTAGGTGAAATGTCTAACTTCTGACATACACTTTACAGTTCTAAAAAAAAAAAAAAAGTTCGTCAATACTTTTGTTTCCCTGCTATATATTGAAAAGCTTTTGACATAATAGATAAGTTCTAGTAATATTATCAATCCGTGAGTACTTCTTCACATGATCCCACACATTTTTTTTGTGTCAAGAAAAACAAGACTTAGGTGCTCTTTGGCAAGTCTTTTTTAAAAGATCTTCCGGCAGACCTGTTAGCCAAAAGACGATGTGAGCTTTTGCATTAAGATCTTAGCAGCCAGAAGACTGTTTGGTTAAGGTGCGTCTTTCCGCGCGAAGACAATGAAAAAAGTCGAAAATCTCCATTTGGAGCTTCCCAAAGATAGCCCAAAATGGGCTTCGCGAGTCTTTTCGAGGCAGCATCTTTTGGCAGTTAGATTTTTTCCCAACTAAATGGGAAAAGACCAAAACACGGGCTGCCAGGCTTCTAAACAGCAGACAGCCCGCACAGAAAGACGTGCCAAATGAGGCCTTATTCTTGGCTTCCAAAGCCAAGCTCTGATTCTTGCATCTTCCTCAATCCATTCAATGTAATTAGGTGCAGGTTGTGGTTTTGCTTCAATCAAGTACTTAGTTTTGCCTTTTCCTATCAGAAACACTGCCAATTTTGCCCAATGTGCATAATTGGCCCCATTCAACTTGATAGGTAAAAAATCTGATGACATCATTGGTCAATCAATTCTCTGCCCCAAAACAACACACCTTTAGTCACAAACACCTCATACAAATCACTGATTCATCAACCAAGAGTTACCCCCTCACCATGTATCAATTCCTTCTCATAACTTCACATTTAGATTACTTCAAAGAGATTGAAACAGTCTTCTCATAGTAATCAATACGTTCGTCCAATGCCACATGACAACTTCACATTCAAGTTACTTGAAAGAGATCGAAACAGTATTTCCATGGTAATCTGTATATATTACACCAATCACAACAATCATACCCTCTTTGAATACATAAAATACAGGACTTACACTCTTGCAGCCCTCACACCAGATCAGGTACAGTAAGTCAGCACTCTCTTGAGAATAGTGCAATCAGATTTCTGTGAAGGGAAAGAACGAGAAAGTTCACCAGATTAGATTGGATGCTCTGAAACCATGTAGGTTTCTGATCTGTGAATAAACAGGATGAAAAAATAAGAAAAATAAAGGAGAAAAAGAAGAGAGTGGGAGAAAAAAATGGTTGTGGAACAACTTAAATAAGTGCAAAAAGACAAGCATACCCTTGATTAGTATCCTCATTAAGACTGATAAATGTACCCCTAAGGCCCTAATTACAAAATTAAACACAAAATATGGCAGACAAAATATAACTCTTCAATGAGTTGTTTGCTGCTATCTATTTGTAGGGATTGCTTTACTCAAAATCATTTTTTAATCTCTATCTTTATTTAAGTGATTTATTGCTTTTCAGCTGCTTTAGGGCCCACCTTCAATATAGACTTTTCAATTGTTTTCTCCTCTTGACTAATACATACTTTTGTTATTGATTTGAGATGGATAAACAAGAAATCTGGTGTGAGCTGTAGTTCTAATATTCTTATTTTCATAAAGAGCAAATGTGACAACTCACAGTCAGCGGAGTTCAGGAGAAAAAAGAAGCATATCAGGTGAACAATAGATGGCAATATTAAAGTTTATAACAATTACCTTTGGACACTTTGGCCCCTCAAGTTGGCTCTTTTCTGAAGCAGATCTCTGAATAAAATTGACATATTCATTGATAGCCTTACAGAGACTATCAGAATCATAAATGAGATACTTGTGAAACGATCTGCTGACTGCTACATCAGCAAAGGAAATGTTGCTTACAGACAATGACCTCAAATCAGTCAGCTGGCCAGGCTTCAGCTTTGGATAAACTGAGTACAGATAGGATGTAATTAAGTAATCCAGGACAGCATCTCCAAGGAATTCAAGTCTCTGGTTTAAGCAATAAGTTATTACACTTACAACATGGAATGCTTTGAGATTTGGCCGCAATTGATAACAGATAGTTAACACACTCTCATTTAGTTATGCTTTAAAAGTCGAAGAAAAAAAAATTGTACCTGAAAGCTGCCTCCTGAGAGCTTGTTATAAGAAGGGTGTACAAATGCCTGGAGAAGCAGACCTTTATGCAGAAAATGGTGACCCAATGATTTTTCCAGGTCACCAACATCAATGGAATCAGCTAGTGACATGAAGCCCTTGCTTGCAGTACAAAACTTAGAAACTTGTGAAGCTTCATAATCCACTTGAATACCAATCCATCTCAGGAATGCAGTTGCAGCCTTTAAACCACTATCGACAATAAATGCTCCAACAAGAGCTTCCACCACATCAGCAATTGTCTTCCTCTGTAACCAATGATGGTTCTTATTGCATCTTTCTTGTTGAGAATGAATAGTTTTCTCTATCTCCTTATTGCAGATCACAGGGCAAGGATGCCCTAATGCAAAGAACTGGCAGGGATTAAATGCTTGATCACGTATATATACCTGAAACAGGGATACATATTCTAAAGTCAAGTAAACTAATATTGGATATACCGTAGTAAAAATAACTTCCATTTCTTTTATTTATAGCAGGAACCATTCAGTATCGGGACAAGAAATATACAAGTGGGAGACAGGAAGAGCTGTAATAATAGTTTATTACACTTTCCAAAGATACCAAAAACAAAACAAAATTCAAAATTATCTAACTCAAACCATTAAAATATTTTCTTGCACCAATGCCTACTATATAATTAATGAACTGATATCCCTACAAATTCTACGAGGATGCCCCAGTACTACTTCAAAATCATTCAGTTTTATTCTTTCCAAATAAGAATATTCTATTATTGATTGAAAACAACAGAAAACAAAGAAGAAAAATAACAAAGAAAATCAGCAAAGAAGAGATCCTACCAAAATGCGGCCTGACCTAAAAAACAATAAACCAAAGCTACAACAAAAACAGCTACTCAGTAATAGATAATCAACAATATGGATCTACCCCAATCTAGATTAAATTAACATGAATCTATTAGTAACAGAATTATTTCTACATGAATCTACTCAGTAAATATCCTTATTTCTACATTTAAGTAAAACAGCTACTCACTACTCAGTAATAGAATTATTTCCAAGTCGCTTTATTCATGATATAGAATATCAAAATTACTGCAATTCATTTTATTAATAATATATGTAGTGATACAGTGGACCAGACCTGATATGTTTACTTGTGGTCCCACATAATCAGTTATCGTGTTGCCTATTTTTGCTTTCTTCTTGTTTTCTTGTACTGTTATAAGCAGCAGGGCATTTCTGTCTTTTAACTTCATGTTATGTTAAAACACATTTCTCTTCTATTCTTTTCTCTTCTTATTCTTCTTCTTCCCTCTTCTTCTCTCTTCTTCTTTTATTTCTGGGTTATTTTTCATCCTAAAACAGTTCTGCCAACAGCCGTAACTTCAAGTTGGTATCAGAGCAGGTTTAGCTTTGCTCGTGAATCTCATGTGAGCTCTTCCCAGCTGGCTGCATGAGATTTTCTTAGGGCTGGAGATTTAGCTCTCTTCGTGGCCTGATTCTTGGAGATTGGTGGAGTTTGAAACTTGCTCAAGACAGTTCTGTTCTTGGAGATCGCCCAGAAGTCAGGAAGAAATAGAGAAATTAAGTTCGAATGAAACAGGAGGTAGGGTTCTTGGAATCTTTGTGAGGAGCATATACTCTTTTTCAACTTTCGCCAAGACTGGTTCTAGGTTTTTTTCTCTTAAAACAATAAATCTACTGGATTGTTGTCCCTATTCCCAGTTTTGTAGGAATTTTTGTATTCAAAATAGGAGTCGACTGTGTTCTTTTTCTTCTGTGTTGAGTCCAGAATGGAGTTCTTTGGGAGTGAACAGAAATCTGCTGGAGGGGCTATTAGTATGACTGATAACAACCCTTTTCAGATCACCACAATCAGATTTGATGGTTCAAACTACTTGGAATGGGATCAATCTGCCATGATGGCCATTGGAAGAGAGGGAAGTTAGGTTATGTGACTAGAGAAACCAAGAAACCAGCCAAGGAAGACACTACTTATGCAAAATGGGTTCAAGAGAGTTATCTTGTGATGACATGGTTGTGCAATTCGATGCAGCCCCATATTAGCAGAAATTATCTTTGGGCAAAGACAGCCAAGGATATTTGGGATAATATGAAAGAGACTTACTCACAACTACTTGATGTGGCTAGGGCTTATGAGTTGAAAACTAATGTGAACAATCTGAAGCAAGGGGAGAAACCTGTTTCGGTTTATTTCTCTACCCTGAAATCCTTATGGCATGAGATAGATCACCTTGAAACAATTGAATGGGAAAGAAATAAGGATGTAGCAGTTATTTTGACATTGTTAGATAGATGATTCTTATTAAGGAAAGTGTTACTTTGTCCCAAGCCTACTCCCTTGTGCACAATGAAGAGAGTAGGAGGAAGATTATGCTGCAAAATTCTCAAATGGAGGCATCATTAGCAGCTACAAGACAAAAGCACAGTGGTGATAGGGAGAAAGAGATGAAGAATGAAAGAAAAAAGGGGGTGTTTTTGAGTACTGCAAGAAACCTAGGCACACAAAAGACACTTGTTGGAAGCTTCACCTTAAGAAGGTAAATGCAAATATAGCTATTACATCAAATGGTTCTTCCCTTCCTGGACCTCGATCTACTTCTTTGGAGGCCGCCTTAGCTGCAGTCAAGGCAGCTTTGACACAATTGGAGAATGAAGCTGGATTTACAGGATCATCTCAGATTTCCCCTACCACCACTGGTCCTCCTCTACTTCAGCTTTTGCCCACTCAGGTACAAGAGCCACTGTTTCATGCCTCAACTCCAAGTAACACTAACCCTACTTGGATTATAGACTCCGGTGCATCAGATCATATAACCAACTTTTATTGACACCTTTAAGCTTCGCTCATTAGCATTTAACACTTAAAGTGCTCTGTACGAAAAAGGTAACTTTAAGGGTGTTCAGTTGAAAATGTTTTGTTCAGACTTATTTCACCAACGCTTTCTTTTGCTTTCCAAATATAAACCAAACCCAAAACGCCTCCTCCTACCTTTATGGTTGCCATAACCCGGGACCCCACAAAGATGATGTTTGAGTCGTAATGTGGTATAAAGAAATAACCCAAGAAACAATATTATGTTCAAGTGGTATCCCCTGCCACCGTGGTGTATCAAATTGAGTTTTAATGGATGAAGCTTGGGAAACCCAAAAGATTTGGGAATTTGAGATACAGAAATCATAGGGTACATGGCCTTCTGAGCCAATTGGCCATGGGGATTCTACTAGCGTAGAACTATCAGCATTTTTACAAGGCTTAACATTGAAGAACCCTCTTTAACTACAGAATGGTTGTAGTAGAGTAAACATTATGGTACTGAATTACTGATACAATTACTTAAAAAAGTGATAGTTTGGGGCCTTGGAAATACAGAAAATCCATTGCAAAAGTCATAAAAATGGTAGAAAGAATTAGAGTGACATTTAATTGGGTGCAAAGATCAATCAACAGTCTAGTCGATGCTTTGGCTACACAAAGAAGGCATAGAGAATAATTGTCTCAGGGAAACATACTCCCTTAAATCTGTTATTGTTGCAAGTTTTTGGGCTAGGAGACAGTTGTCAGCCTAGGATTAAAAGAGGTATTAGGCACACTCCCTGGATTTGCACTCTTGTATATAATTGTTTTTGCATAATTTATAAATCTCAATTGTTACTGATGAATATAACTCAAAAAGTAGGTTTAAAAGAACTAAGAGAAAGCCCATATAATCTACATAGTTGAAGAACTATAGGATAAGCACATAGATGACAAACTAAAGATCATCAGATTGTGAAAGACAAATTTTACCTGTAAGTTTCTTTGAGTTGCAAGCTTGTACAAATTAGAATTATTTACAATATTAGAACGCTTCCCGGTCAGTTGCCCTTCATCAAGTGCTTCATATGACAAGAAAAGGCTTCTACCAACTGCATACTTGAGAAAAGCATCACCAAGAATTTCAAGCCTTTCAAGAGAAAATCTCTCCAAGCAATTCTCTGTAGTGAGTGCTTCTAATATCTGAAAATAGTTATACTACTGTTGTGGGTATTTTGTTACTAATAAATAAAAAATTCATACATAAGAAATGGGCAAGCAAGGGAACATTCTGCAAAAGGGCCTTACACGATGTGCAGTAACCTCAGATGCCTCTGGGAATGAAGCAGATAATATGCCCTTCAATTCAATTGCCACAAGAAAATTTTCTAACCGGTGCACTATTGATGGTAACAAGGACAATGAACTCCCAATTTCTTTTGAGAAGCCTATTATCCTCAGTGAACAAAGTTCTGGAGGTAACTCCACAAAGTGCTCTTTTACCTCTCGTGGCTCTGCTTTCAAAAATTGAATCCAAAAATATAATTACTAAAAGAAATCCAGCAAAACTCCAAAACCATATTCAAAACCCAATTGCTCAGACGATGAAGGGCAGGGAAAAACCCAATTGATACAATAAAAAACGCTCAAGGAGAAAAGGGCAGGGAAAAACCTATTGGAATTTAGAAAATAAATTGTCCTTACAATGCAGAAATTGAAACAACTCATTTAAATTAAAGAAGATATATATCATGCATGGATTATGTAAATGAATCATATCAGAAAAAAAATTTGTACTTTCCAAATGGTTAAGTTATTATTTAATTGTACATGTCAATTTGGAGTTCTCTAAAAAGCCTTAAGCATGAATTCGTAACACTAAAATAAATGAATAGCTCACCAAGAAACCAAGGGAAAACGAATGAGCTTAAAGGAATAAGAAGGATATTAAAATAAATCATCATATTGGCATTTACTTAAAAAATTTATTTTAAAGGGATTGTATAAATACTACTGTAATTTTCTTAAATGTATCACAAGAGAATGACCATCAGTTACAACGTGGTATCTCCAGCATCAGTGAGAATACAGAGGTGATGGTTACAATGGTAAATTCAAGTTTTAAATTGAAACCTTTCAAGTAATGTTCTTCCTGTGGGAGGAAATAACCCTATGCAAAGTAGAGAATTTATGGAAAACATGACTATTAGATTTCAGGTTCTAGGTGATTCTAAGCTGTTGGATGAGCAGAAAAACCATGTAAGATTACATACTTTCTATGATATGTAAAGGAAATCCCAATTCATGTCAAACTCACTGCAGAACATGATTGTGCTTTTCCATATGCAAAGTAATGATAACAAGATAGACCATCAAAGAAAACATATCTTATTGAAACATAGCAGCTACTATGTAAAAACAAACATAAAAAATGTACCTGCATTCTCTTGCAACCGATTGTGTAGTAAGTTGTTCAAACGGAAAAGCTGTTTTGCCTTCAGAAGAGACTGTTCAGGATATGATAGATGAATGCCAAACCTGAAATACAAAAAAAGAAACAAGATCACCGAACAAATTCTACAAATGTGTAGAGAATAATATCCTTCTAAAATGTAGGGAATCACAACATATTTTAATAGAGACTCATAATTCCACCTATTTTGGCAAAGTTGCATACTGCCAGCCTGTACTTTTCTTTCTAAAATGTAGTGAGTCACAACAGAAAGTTACATATTTTTCGCTTTCTTAATTCCAACATTAAGCCCCCACTCCATTAATGGGCTTGATGGTAAAGATAAAATTATGTAAATTCCCATTTGAGGTTCTGTATTCGTTTTTATTTTTTTTTTCTCTGTGTGCTTTCCTCTTTTTCTTTGTTTGCAATTTTCTCTATTTTTGTTGTATTTATTTTTTGTAATTTTCGGTGTTTTCTGTATTTTTCTCTTTTCTCTTTGTTATATTTTCCCCATTTTTCAGTTTTTAATATTTTGTTCAGTTGCCTCTTTTTATTCATTTTTTGTTGTATTTCCCATATTTCTGCAATTTCCTACTTTTCCTTTATTTTCTAATTTTTTATTGTATTTTATCAATTTTATACAAAATCATAAAATGATATGAGGGCAGTTTGCGGTTTTAGAATATTTAAACATGCACATGACAGTCAAATGAGAATCTTTTCTAAAGTTAACTGACAGAATGCTAACAGTAGGAGCAAAGTGTCACTACCCCCAATGTACAGGGTGGCAGTTATAATTTACCCATTTTTTTCAATCAGTCATCGCATATCCATAGGTTGCAGTATTATGAGCAAGGAACTCTGATAAGAGAAGAAATATGGGTAAAGTCTAAGACTTTGAGGAAATGACGTCATTGTTTTTCTAATTTGTTCACTATCTTCAGTCATTAAATACTAACAATAATTTATTCCCAATCAAAATTGGCAGCCAAGGATAAAAGAACTCATATGCAGTTCATTTTAGCAATAGGAACAGATGTTTCAGCATAATCTACTCTATAAACTCGGAGAACCCATTTGCAAATTGTTAATCTTGTTTTGTATCTCTCCATTGATCCATCATCCCTATCTTTCACCACAAAACCCACTTAAACCCAATAGGTTCTTTCCCTTCAAGAAAATCCACTAGCTCCCATGAGTTATTCTTATGTAGGGCACCAATTTCTATCTTCATAGTGCCTGTCCACTCAAGTGGATTCAGGGCTTCTATGACATTCCTAGGAATAGACACATTAGAAACAACAGACAAGAAAGCACGAAAAGGGATAAATTACTACAAGTGAAATGATTAATATGATGCAATGTTTTAAAACACGGAGGTGTGACACGAGGCATGAGGCATAGTTCAGAACGCAAGAGAAATAAGCCTCCCGAACACAAAGCCTCCTTAAGAGGAGGGTTAGGAGGAAAAGGAGGAAGGGGAGGACGATGAAGAGGAAGGGGGGATCTCATTTTTTCTTTATTTTTAATAAAAATCTTTTATATTAAGAAGAATAAAGATGCATAACATTTTTCTTTCCCCTTATCTTTTCTTCCCTTCCCTTTCCTTTTCTTTTCTTTCCTCTTCTCTTTTTTTCTTCTCTTTCTTTTTCTTTCCCTTCCCTTTCTTTTCCTTTCCTTTTTTTCTTTTTTTTTTCTGTCTTTTTTATATAAGATGTGCATGAGGCGTACGCCTCTGAGGTGTAAGCGCCTTTGGCATATGCCTCAAGGCGTTTTGGGAGTGCCTCACCTGGAGGCGCACCTCCAGGCGTACGCCTCCCACGCCTTTTAAAACACTGATATGATGTTTAGTAATATAGGAAGGAACACCTTTATGAAAAGTAATGGGAATATTGAGGACAATAGTAGGAACAACTGTACCTTGTGGATTTGCCTCCTGGAAGTCAAAGTTGTTTGCATGGTTTCTATCAACAACTATACAGACAAGAAAGCACGAAAGATGGTTAATAGGTAATATTGGGATGATGATGAAGAATAGGAGAGACACCAATAGGAAAAGAGAGAGATCCTTGATCCACAATGGTGGAGGAGCCATTGGCTAGTCTCACTTTGTCCCTACTAGATAACAAACCATAAGAAGAAAATAAGTCGGGCTTACTATTCATGTGATTCAAGGCCCCAGAATGAATAATCCAAGAGGATTAAAAAGGAGTAGAGGACACATGTAAGGCAGTAGCCCAGCTACCTAGGTAAACGCAAATTAAGTAAACAAGATAAGAGAAGTCCCCTCCAACTGGCACAATGCCCTACCATATTACTCAAGATGGTCCATCATACTAATCATATTCTCCCCAGGTACAGAATAGACCAAATGGTTCTAAGAAAAAGCTTACATTCCTAGGAAGAAACATTGGCCAAGTTATACTTCTTACTCTCTTATTTCTTTGTGACTTTAGGTCTTTCAACAAGTTCCCAACATGTCTCGCTGGTATGCCTGGCCTCTATCAAATTGTGCACCAAAATCTATCCTTGTCCACTCCATTAGTCATCTTATTCCCATGTACCTTCTTAACACTACTACTGTCCCCTCTTGTGAAGGGGCATGCACCCCTTGGATAAGATTCATAGCCAACTTTCTCCCTCTTCTAACTATATAAGAGCATATACTTCTTGTATAATGGGCAATTCCTGACATCTCAAAATTTGAACACTTATTAGATCATAAGAGGGATTGGGTCCAACAAGAACAACAAAAAACTCTTTGCTATGATAGCAGAGTCTTATAGGCTTTAGCATTCTCTTCACACTTCCAATCTATTGATGGCCAATGATCAAGCTCCTTCCACATTGATGTGAGGTCAAAAAAAATAAGCAAAAAGACTTTTTTCTCCTTACGTAACAAGTTGAGATTTTGCTTGTATTTGATATACTCTAGGATAATTTCACTACTAAGCATTTTTTATCAATAACTATAACTTTCATTAAATAAAGATGAGATACAAAGACTTGCCTCTCAACTAAAGCCAAAAACAAGTGACAAAACAGAGAGATTCACTAGTCTGAGCATGGCAACAAATGAGGGACAGATACAGGACGCAGTCAAGGTGTCGTCAAACCTTGAAGATGACCAAGAAGGGCCTAGGATGGCTTGAATTTTCTCTGGATTAGTCTCAGTGCCTTGTTGAGTAACTACAAAGCCAAGGAATTTGCCCGAGGTGACCCCAAAGGCACATTTGGTGGGGTTCAATTTCATGTTGTATTTTCTTAACACGCCAAAGGTTTCACCGAGGGCAGGCCTTGTTGAGATATGTGCAATCAATGCATATATGCCACTTCCCGTTAGCCTTTCTAACCATGACCACATTAGATAACCATTTAGCATAGTGTACTCTCTGATGAATTCGGCGTTGAGTAACTTATCCACCTCCTCTCCAATCACTTTCCAGCACTCCGGTGCAAAGTTCCTCTTCTTTAGTCAAACCGGCCTACAATTCGGGTCCACACTCAATTTGTGAGTAATGACTGAAGGGTCAATTCCGGGCATATCAGTGGCAGACCAAGCAAATACGTTGGCATTGGCTTTGAGGAATCTTGCCAGTTCGAAAAGGTTGTCTTAAGGGAGAAGAGACCCGACTTATACAGTCTTCTTGGGCTCAGCCTCGTCTAGGGGAACAGAGATGAGGTCCTCCAAAGGGTGACCACGGCTGGCGGATTCATCCTGAGGTCGAGCCCTTTTATCGGCAAGGCTTCTTGTTCTCGTCTTTCAATGTTGCAACGTAGCACTGTCTGGTGGCCTGCTGGTTTCCTTTAACCATACCTTTGTCATGCTCCGTAAGGAACTTCATAGCAAGGTGGTATGAATATATGATGACCTTAAGTGCATGCAGAGTCAATTGGTCAATGATGGCATTATAGGATGAGCCGATTTTTACAACCACAAACTCTGTCATCTTGGTGACGTGTTGAGATTTCGTCCCTACCATAAGAGGTAGGGTAATTCTTCCTTCTAGTCTATGGCTGCTTCAGAAAATCCGACCAGGGGGACATCGAAAGGTTGGAGTTGATCCGGGGTTAATTGCATCTTCTTGAATGCATAGTAGAATAAGACGTCGTCTAAAGAGCCATTTCGTAATTGGCGATTATCATCGAAACCACCAATGCATCATTGTGGGGTGTGGAAACCCCCTTCAGGTTGTCGTCAGAGAAAGAGATGAGTTCCTCTAGCCTCTGTTTCTTCAGTGTCTTGTGCTCAACATGTAGCTGCCGCACATAGGCCTTTCGGGCTGAGGTGCTCACACCTCCTGAGAACGAGCCGCCTGAGATGACTTCAATAATCCCTGCCAAGGTTCGGCTAGGCTAAGGGTCAACCAGTGCTACTGGCAATGATGCTAGAATTTCACTATTGACGTAGTCTTTCAAATGTCCCTATTGGATGAGGGACTCAATCTCATTCTTGAGCTCATAATAGCCTTCGATGCCATGGCCAGTGCCACGGTAGTACTTGTAGTATTTTTTAGGATTACCCCTTCTAGGGTTCCTTTTCAGCTTAGCAAGCCATTTAATGTACTCTTGCTTCCCAACTTGCATTAGAATGTGTTTGAGAAGCATTCAGTGGAGTGTCTTTTCGAATGATGGCACAAGTAGTTTCTTGTCGTTGTTCTTAACACTGGGGCCTTCGGCTGGCCCATCTCTATCTTTTCTCTTCTTTTCACTAGGGCCAGCTTCCGAGTTTTGCAGACACTTGTTTGCCTCGGCCTCTTCAACTGTGATGTAGTTTTGCACCTTAAAAAACTCAACCTTGTTCCAAGGTGGCGTCTTAGAGATGGACCAGCTAAGAGGTCCTGGGCGAAGGCCACACTAATGGCGACAACCATTGATACCAAGGGGTTGAGATCTTTAACCTCAAGTTCCTCCTGGTTAAACTGCTCCATGTATGCCCGAAGACTCTCCCCAAGTTCTTGTTTGATGGACATGAGGGAGATGACTATCTTCTAGCACCATCAGCAGCTCACAAAGTGGGCCAAGAATAGGTTTGTGAACACCTCCTAGGAATTAATGGACCAAGAGGGGGAGAGCAGAAAACCATTTGCAGGCGACCCCCTTGAATGTGGCCTGAAATGCCCTACACATCAGGGCGTCAAGTATCCATGGAGGAGCATAATAGCTCAGAAGCTCTCCAAGTGGTCTTCCAGGGTCAGTCCAGTCATATGTCTCGAGAGTTAGTGCTTTAAAGTTCACGAGGAGCGGCTCCAAGGTGGAGTCAGTGAAAGCCTCCATCTTGCTAGACGAGGGCTGAAGGAAAGCCGAGGTCACAGCAAGAGAGTAAAGATTAACTCAAGTGTGTGTAAGTGTACCTTTAGGCTATGGTGCCCCTTCATAGTCGGAGTCGCCCGAGAGAGGAGTGGTGAGAAGTAAGTAACTATCCCATGAATTGCGGTCTCGAAGAGGGTAGCCAGAGAGCCATCGATCGATCACTACCCCTTCATAAGTGTGTTGGGAGTAAATATGTCAAGAATGTAGTGATTGTATTAAATGCTTCCACAGTAATGACTTGTGGGAGATATTCTATTGCCCTTAGATGAGGATGAAATGGTGGAAATACCCTTGGGTGGTGCCATGTGTTAGTATTTGGTGAACCAACTGAATATGCCTACATCACCTTCCATTAAATCCATAATCTCAGCTCTAAGTGAATCACCTGTACCAATTGGCCCGCTATTCCCGTCGAATTTCAGCTCACTGAATCAGCTAGCTGGTGGAGACCAAATAGGCCTCATTGCAGCCTTAGAAGGGGCTGAATCAGCCACTTCTTTCCAATTTCTAAGCAAGGCACCTGTAGAAATATCATAAAAAATCTCCAAGGATTTCACCCATTGCACCACTCTGATGGTAATGACTTCAATAATTGCATCTGCTTCCCTCCTTTTCAGAAAACATCCTTAGACTTCTTTCTTCCCAAACTATCCAGCGAACAATGGCTCTAGTGCATCTCCATAGTACCCAACCCCTCTTCTTTGGCCACGTAACAGAAGAAGCAAACAAGCTTTGTATGTGAGGCAGAGGAGTCCACCAACAAACAAACAAAGAGAGAAACCAATCCCAAAGACAAAACAAAGGGGTAGGAGATTAATAAGTAATAGAAAGTCTCACCATTAGCCTTACAGAGAATGCACCAGTATGGGGATAAACACCAATTAGATCTTTTTCTTTTAAGTAAATTACAAATGTTGAACCTTTCCAGGAAGGCTTCCAACAATCACTACTTAACAGCAATACCAAAATGTTGAACCTTTCCAGGAAGTCCCACCAATAACAACTTGTACAGGCTTCAATCACAGTCAAAAATAGTTGCACGATAACAGTCCCTGTAGGAGTCCATATAGGCCATAACAAATCAAACTCAAAGCACCAAACACCACTGCTACTACAGTACTAACAAACAGGCAGAAAAAATCACCTTCTCCAGCAATACTAGTCAGTCTAGGGCTTCAGATAGCAGAGGAAAGCCTTCTAGCAAAAAGAAAAAAAAAAGGAAACAGCCGAACCTAGCAGTACTCATCAGCACTCACTGAAGCCTCCTAGGGTCTAAAAACTAAATCTGAACTGAGATCTCTGCACCCAAGACACATGCCACAACAAAAAAGGTCTCACCTGATCAAGTCTACACTTGGTACACACCCTATCAGCTACACGATTCAAATATAGGTCTTTCTAGGCCGTCTACAGTCTAGACTCACATCAGCAGGTTCTAGTCACCACAGCTAAGTTCATGGTGCAGTACTCACCAGCACTCGCTGAGGCCTTTTGGGGTCTAAAGAATAAGTCTAAACTGAGATCTTTGCACCCAAGACAAATGCCACAACAAAAAATTCTCACCTGATCAAGGCTGCACTTCGTACACACCTTAGCAGCCAAACAATTCAAATATTGGTCTGTCTAGGCCATCTACAGTCTACACTCACATCAGCAAGTTCTAGCCACCACAGCTAATGAGCTCTTGGTGCTACGACCAAGAACAAAGAAAAGAAAAGAGATAAGAGAGGGTTCCGATCAGTAAGAGTCCTATGGTCTTCTCCCAACTGCCTATCAGTTCACTTGCTCCAATGTGAAGAAACACCAGAAACTAATCAGATCTGCCAAGAAATATGTTCTGGCACCATGTAACTCAATCTGCAAAAGGTCAAGAAAAGAGAAAAAGGAGAAGAGAAAAAGCAGAATATGAGGGGATCATAGTGGGCATGGCAGTACCCACTCTATTATTTTATTAGTACCCCGCTGCCTCTAGCCATAATATTACAACAGTATTCATTATATAATATTAGAAAACTTGCATAACATGCAATCTTTCTGAGACTAAAAAGAGCTACTTTGAGAAACAAAATTTCTCAAAAGGAAGAGGTTATCTCACCCCAAAGTGGAAAACGCTGCAGAAAAGAAACCCACAATGACTAGACAGTTAAATCCCCACTGCAGTCGATTTGGGTTCAACAAATAAACATAACTACTTCAAATAGGTATGGTTTTTATGGTTACCAAAAAGCATAAATTAAACATGCATCAGTCAGAATTCTTTGATCAGAAAAATGCTGGAAGATTTTAGCAATGATACAACAGAAATTTTCCAACTTAGAGATTTTCTTCTCTTGATTTAAATACACCAGAGGAACTATTATAGAATGAGTATAGCAGCACTAGGGTATTACTAGAATATCAATAATAATAATTACATGGATAGATTACCTACTTTTGAATATAGTACTCTGAATAGCTTGAATATCGTGATCCAGGAAAAGGGCTGTATCCATTTATTCCAGGAAGAATGCCAGCTACAAAGAAAAAAAGCTTTCTGTGAGGGCAGTACACTAAGCTGTTCACGATGTCAGATATCCTTCTGGGACCACTAGCAAGTCTTAATGAGTTGCTCACAGAAAGATGATCACTATCAGCTCCATTTATTTGAACTCTGAAAACAGGAGAAGATAAGCATCTTTTAACAATCTCCCAATCAACAGTCATTTTCTCCTTGTACTCATGCTGCTTGACAGGAAGCAACAGATAGAAAGTTGATGAGCTTGCTTGAGAGGAATCATTCTTTCCCAAGGGAACAAAATCAGGAAACAACTCTGAGCGGTTGAGGATGAGCTTGAGAAACAACTCCTGGAAATATTCTGCTTGTTTCATCTGCAGAAAGAGTAAATTATTTTGCAGTTACTGGTAGAAAATCATGTAAACAACATAATTTTCAATTATAGGTGATCAGATTACCTCTTCTTGATCAAATTCAATGACCCCAAAAGGACAAAGCTTTGTCTTTACGATTCTGTTTCTACCATGAGCTAGATGAAGGTCAACCTCCATATTTTCAGCCTCTATTGGGAGAGCTTCTTTTACAAATAGACCAAATTTTTTATACACCCTGTCCTCAGGAACAGGATTAAACCTTAAAAAATAAAAGTTAAGAGTGACACGATCCTCCAAATTAGTCCAAGGTACTCTAAATGCAGCAGGTATTAGCATCTCATGAAGTTCTCTTTGATCACCCTCTTCTGCCAAATTTTCAGTAATGGAAGTTAGCATGTTCTAAGAAGCAATATCATGGAAAAAATACAACAATAAGAAGCTAAATGCTGCAGTTAAACCTTCACAGCTCTGCGGTGTGGTTAAGCCTTCAGAGATCTCAGATCCTGAAGAGGTTAAGAACAATCCTTCTGCCTTTCCACCATCTTGACCTGGCAGAAGATGGTCTGTCAGAGCACCTACTAGATGTAATTCCTTGCATGCTTTGAGGCAGACATTTCTCTTAGCTGCTTCTTTTGATGGTTGGGGCATGCTTACAACTTGATGAATTGCAGCATTAGATGGAAGGATTAAGTGGCATACTGTTCCACTTGAATCATTGAAATAAAAGAATTCTGGTTTAGGGTTGAAGTATCTACAAACAAGAATCAATATACAATAAGTGATGACTTGTTTAGAACAAAACATTTAGAGAAGCAGAAAACCAAGACCCAAAATGAAACATAGAAGACCATGAAATAAAAGTTAAAATTAGAAAAAATGCAATAAAATGCGTACTCATCATGAGGGAGTTTGGAACAATAATGGTAGAGTAGTGAAACACTATATCCAGCAGTGATGGAGGCACCAGTAGAATCAACCTTATATGTTGATTCTTCCAGAAAATCAAATGTCTCTAGGGATGATCTACATGTAATTTCTTTGTTCATCTGATTTTCATCAGACACAAAATTATTAATCAAGTGTAGCTCACTCTGGTTTCCCCTGCATTGTTAAGAAGGCCAGTCAAAGATCATTAGAAGCTTTATGAACCAAAAATCTATGCACTCATAGCTTATAAATAAAGAAAGCACCTGTCTACCAAAAATGCATATTCTGATTGAGGCATGCGTGCGCGACCTCTAGATTGTATAAAACTTGCAACAGTTTCTGGTAAATCAAACCGTATTACAAGGCAACAAGTCTGTATATCAAGTCCTTCTTCACCCACTTTAGTTGCAACCAGAAGATTCAGCTGTGGAGAAAAAAGCAGTGGAAGTTTAAAAGAGAAGTCTTCAACATGAAATACATGAATTATGACCATGCATAAAAAGTAAAATGTTTCTCTTGTTTTTTTTTTTTTCTCATAATCATGGCAACCTCAAACTTGTAATTCAGGTTTTTCCACATGGACTGCACCATATAGGTTCATTGATGTTAGAAGAGGTTTCTTTTGGGGAGAGATGGCAATCTTTTCTTGGGAGGCCTGTTACGAAAGAGGAAAAAGGAGAGGAAGGACAACAATAGAACTTTCCATTGGGTGAGCTGTTTAGTATTTAGATTTTGTATTCAGGAGGGCCAGTTCTTTCAGCTTTTGCTGTTGGGCAGCATTGTAGATATGCCAGGAGATTTATTGTATGTCCTGTACATATGTGTGGCAACCTTTAGCTTTGAATCTTCCGCTCACTATGTTTTTTTTCTTTTCACTTTTATTTTTAATATTTATACAGTTGTTTCTGCAAAAGTAATAGGGCACCCGTGCTTGTTTGTTTTTGTTGGTTTGTCATTGTTCCTGTTGTAGACATAAAGAGAGCTAACGGAGGGTTATTTTTGTCTTTTTATGTTTACTTGTACATTAGATTCTTTGTATTATTTTGTACACTATTATTTGTATATTAAGGACAGAATGGTCTTTAACCATAATAACATAAATACTAATTCTGGGGTGTCGACTGACACACTTCAACACACCCACCAAACTGATGTCTTTTTCTTCTACTAGCTCAAGATCTGACTCCGACGCTTATTTCTGTTTTTGGTGTTGCTTTGAACATCTGATGAATGGAAAAAAAGGCAGGATGATTTATATTTTTTTATCGGTAACGTTTCAATATTTTATTAAAAAGAGAATGGAGTACAATTTGAATTGTGCCAAGCACTCCTTAGATCTAGGTATTGACAGGTTTATAAATAAGTAACAGAGAGTAGAAAAACATTTTATTACTAATCTTTTAAGCAACTGGTGGCCACAGGTAAGCTTCTAATTTCTGGTTCTTGTTTCAGTAGTTAATATAAAAGATAGTGGGGCTACACATGAACCCCAGAATTATTCTTTTATAAGTAACAGTAAATATTTTTTTTTTGACAAGTAAAAGTGAGCTTTATTAATCACTTAAAATTGGCAATACAAGCATCCCTTAGGGAGGCACAAGATGCTACCTCTCACAACATTACAACTGATTTCTATTCATCCCTTGTTTAGCTTAAGTATCAGCCATCCCATTTGCCAATCTTCTCACCCATTGTACTCTCAAACTCATATTTCTAGTGAGCCATTTGAACTTCTTTATCTTATTCCCTCTTTCCTATAACATCATATTATGGTCTTTGGGTCCTTCAGCCATCCTAGTGTCAATCTTCTAGTTTGTGAGAACACCAAAGGTTTCAGGGGTGTCTAACAGAATGAATCGATCCCCACACCCAAAGAGTATATATATATATATATATATATATATTTACAAAAGAGCCCTTGAAGGGCTAAAGGTGAAAAAAGAATAATTAGAAAAAGGGCCCTTGGAGGGCTGAAAGACAAAAAGAAGACAAAGACTATAGTACAACAGGGATCATAGGACTACAGTACATCAAGTGTCTCCTCACCCAGCACCAATTTTAAATCCCCTTCAATCACCACATTTCCCAAGTTGAGTTCGTTTGCAAACTGTAATCTTCATAGTGTAACAAGAAATTCAGCTCTAATAGAATCACATAAGGCTATGTTTGGTTTGAAGGAAAATGTAGGGAATGATAGGGAAACCAATACAAGGGTTGTAAAGGTTTCCCTACCTTTCCCTCCCTTTTCCTACATTTTCCTTCAAACCAAACATAGCCTAACAGTAAAACTTTATTAGTTATATCAGAAAAGATCATTGCAATTGTTGGTCTTCAACAAGGAATTCCAAGTGTGAGTCATCAACTCACATGATTATGTCCCTGCCCTTTGTACACACTGCCCATCACTCATAAAAAGTAATAAAATCAAGTGGATATACCTGTAGGAAGAAGAAACCAGTAGAGAAGAGTAGAACAAAGAGAGAAATTGGGGAGGCCAATAACAGTTCTGTCGCTCATACTTCTTTTACACTTGAAATTACAATAAACTAAGTTTAACTCTGTCCTTAATTTAAGTGTGGTTCTAACAAATAAACCAAAACTAAGCTAATAACTTAGGCCCAATAACAAACAGAACAGCTAAATTAAATAAAACTAAAAACTTAAGAACTATAAGCCCATTTGGCCCATTACATAGACCAGTCAGCTGTACAAACACACAAACAGCCCACAAACTCAACAATCCCCCTCAAGCCGTGTGTAGATGTTAATCATACCCAACCTTCCATCATCAATCTCCAACTTATTCTTTCCAACTCCCTTTGTAAATACATCAACTAGTTGTAAGTGAGAGGCAATGTATGGAAGGAACACTTCACCAGATGCAACTCTCTCCTTGATGAAGTGTTTGGCCATTTCTATATGATTAGTCTGATCATGTTGTACTGGATTGTGGGCTATGTTGATGGCAGCTTGATTATCACAGTAAAGTCTCAAAGGCTCTTCTACCTTTACTCCAAGTTCTCCAAGTAAGAATTGTATCCAAAGCAACTCAAAAACACCATGAGCCATGGCTTTATACTTTGCTTCTGTACTGGACCTGGTTATCATTGATTGCTTCTTACTTTCTTGGCATACAATGTTCCCACCAAAAAAGGTACAAAAACCAAATGTCAACCTCCTATCATCCAAAGAACCAACCCAATCTACATCAGTATAAGCTTCCACCTCCATATGCCCATGATCTGCATACAAGATTTCCTCTGCCAAGATGCTTCTTGAGAGTTGTCCCAAAAATCAAAGAAAATTAGTGATTTTAGAAGCTCTGATTGTGAACAACCTAGAGGAGCCTTGAAGGTGGTGCTCAAAGGATAGTTTCTCTCCTGTGGCATTCTTAGAAAGGGCAATTGGAGATTTGCAAGGTTCTGGAGGCTCTATAGCAAGCACCCTAGTTCTTCCCCTCCCTATTTTGGCACCGAGTTTGCTTTCCACCTAGTGGAAGTGTTAGAGTACTGGTTGTAGGCAGTAGGCCAGGTGGTATGTTATTCCTGATAAAAAATCAATTACTGAAAGAAAATTTTGACTTCTTAAAGATCAATGGATACCTCTATAAGTAATTTGAACCAAATCCCGAAGCCTGAGTTGGTGTTGAATGGTATTGGTGATGCAGATATGGGAGCAAGGAAAAAATCCATGGAGAATTAAGTTAGTGTTCCAATTCCTATACCATTTTCAGGATTTTGGGGTTATAGGATAGTGGTACTGTTTCACGTGTTTGTTTATATTTTCTAGTTGTGGTGTCTTAAGGATAAGGTTCTGTTTCTCTTGGAATTTTATTACTATTTCAAGATTACTATTTATGGTAATTCTTTTACTTACTGTTTATGGTAATTCACGTAATTACTGTTTTTGGTAAATTCATGGTTTACTATTTTTAGTAATTTCCCATACCTTTAAAGTATGTTAACCTTAATGGGATCAGTAATGAGTTATTAGAGTTATTTTAGTAATTAGAGCCCTTGTTGGAGTGTTTTCATTGGTCATCTATGGATTTTACTTAGTTCTAAAACAATTAGTAGTTGTTTTGGGTCAGTTTCCTAGCCCAAATTGGAGTATGTCAAGAGACATCCGAGTTAATAAAAAAATTATCAAGGTATACAACTGTCAACCACTATTACAACACTGCCCAGAACAAGTTCTCTCTCACAGTCCCTTGTTTTGTTAAGGTATCAGCTTAGCTGATCTTCTTGTCCACTTGATACATGCACCAATCTCCCTTGTTATTCTTAGGATTTCCTGTATCAACTGTCTATGTGTCCAGGCTCCCAAACAACCTGACTTCATCCAACCAATTAGCAACTTAGAATCTCCTCCTATCTCAATTTGGTGTAACCCCAACTGTTTGGCATATCATACACCTTGAAACAAAGCCATCACCTCTGCTCTCAATGAGTCTCTCACTCCTATTGGTCCCCAAAACAAAGCAATTATTCTGCATTCTCCATCTTTGAAAACTCCCCTTACACCCGAAGGGCCTGGATTACTTATAGAGCTTCCATCAAAGTTCAACTTCATCCTTTGTTGTGTTGGCAGAGACCAAAAGTTCCTGTACAATAGGTTTTAGGGAAGTTGTAACAGCCACCTCACCCTAATTCCTGTAGATATCCTCAGTTGAGAAGTCTTTGAATAAACCAATTGATTTCAACCAGTGAATAATGATAAGGGTTATTTCTCCTATATAAATCAATTGTTTCTTTCTTCCCAAACTGACCAAAGAACAACTGATCTTGTATCTCTCCACATGATTCTCCCATGCCTCTTTGGATGCCTGAAAAATTTTGAGTCAAAGAGGCTCACCACATCTGAAGGAGGGGTCTACCTGCAGCCAAAGAGAGAAGAGAACCAACAAATATATAATAGAAAAGGACAAGAGATTAATAGGTGTTTGATCGTCTCACCAAAACCTAGGCAGAGGCTACAAACATGGGGTGAAAGGCAAAGATTTGACCTTTTTACTTGCAACAAATCCGAAGTATTGATTTTTTGGAGTACCACCTACCAACAAAAAAAAAAACAAATTTTTTGAGGTACAGGGCTACACCAAACCTCCTTTGATGGAAAATTCCCTGCAAGGTTAGATGACTAAAGGAGGATATTATAGAAAGAGTGAAAAAAACAGATGGGAAAGGTTTCCAAATTCTGCTATCCAAGCATGATTGATCCAAGTAGACCAACCCTAAAAGAGTTACAAGTTCATCCATCATCTCCATTCCCAACTCCCTTAACCCTCTCCTCAAGCCTAGATCCCATGAGTTACCAACAAACACCGAAGAGATAACTTTTCTTTTATTCTCTAAAAGTGAATAAATAGTAGGGAACCTATCACTAAGGGAAATCTCTCCAATCCAAGCATCTTCCCAAAATAAAACTTTGTTTCCTGCACAAACATCAAATGTGAAATAAGGGAGGATGAAAGGCAAGATACCATGAATTGTTTTCTAGGGAGAACATCGAGAAGCCCTAGGGTCGAGACCTGCATCCCAACCATTGTCTACTAATCCATGTATGCTAACAATCACTCTATGCCATAGTCTATCCTGTCCCAATGGCAACCTCCATAACCATTTCCCCAACAATGTTATATTCCTTAATCCAATATTTCTTATACCTAGGCCTCCATCATCTATACTTTTAGAAAACACCTCCCACTTCACTAGGTGATCCTTCTTAGTGTTTCCTAGTTCCCACAAGAAGCCCCTCATAATCTTCTCTAATTGGTTTGCCATTTTCACTAGTACTTTGAATGTAGACAAGAAATACATTGGTAAATTGGCCAATGTTGATTTAATTAAAGTTATCCTACCCCCCAAAGAGATGTAATTTCTCTTCCAATTTGCAATTGCAAGTCTCTTGTTAAATCTCTCGATCATTGGGTACCAGAAGCTATCTGTATTTGGGTTTCCGTTTTTTTTTTATAAATGAGTGAGATTTTATTAAAAAGCAAATAACAATTACGTGCAACCCGTGGAAAGGCACGAGATGCGACCTTTCCTTTAAAGCTAGTTATAGAACTATAAGTACAAAAGAAATTACACAGAAACCCAAAATAAAGTATCCCAGAGAACCCCTTGTTTTGCAAGTGAATCAACCAATGGCTTGGCTGATCTGCCTACCAACTGAACTCTGATTGCCATATTCCTTGTTAACCATTTAACCTTTTTGAGAAGATCTCTAAAACCCCAAATCACAGTGTCCGGATCCTTCAGCCAACCCACTATCACCTGCGAATCCCCTTCAATAATCAAGTGCTTTATGCCTAGCTGATTTGCAAGCTGGTTTCCTTGGACAGCAGCAAGTAATTCGGCCCTTAAAGAGTCTCCCACACCCACCGGACCTGAGTACAAAGATATAATGCTACTATCTTTGTTTCTCAACACTCCTCCTATGCCTGAAGGTTCTAGATTTCCTTGGCTACTTCCATCAAAGTTCAGCTTGATAAACTCCTCCCCTGGTGGTATCTATTCAACCCCATGTATGTCCTTCCTGGTAGAAGTATTAGCCACTGCTAACCAGCTTCTCCATAGGTTATCAAAAGAGTATGCATCAAAGAGCTTTAGAGTTTTCAGCCACTGAATTCCCTTGTCCGAATACATTCTTTAACTTCCGAGAAGCTTCTTTCTTTTTCACAAAAGATTTCGGTGTTCCTTTCTTCCCAAACTGTCCACAACAAAGCTGCTCTTATGCACTTCCACATAATTCTCCCTCTCTTTTTGTGCCATTCAAAAATAGATGGACTAAACAATAAGCTAGTATTAGATGGCAGGTTCCACCTACACTCAAACAACATAAGAATCCAATTCCATAAAGCTGTAGCAAAGGAGCAAGAGATTAGAAAGTGGTGACAGTCCTCATTCTGAGATTTACAAAGAACACACCAATTAGGGGATAAGCACCAATTTGGTCTTCTCTTTTGTAGGTTTTCAAAGGTGTTAATCGTACCATAATAAACTTCCCAACAAAAAACAGCAATCTTTGGGGGAATGGGCCTAGCCCAAAATTCTTTAGCCGGGAAATTCTGAGGTGCAGAAGTGGAACAAAGGGACTTGAAGAAAGAGGAGCAAGTGAAAAAACCTTTCAGGTTAGGGGTCCAAATTCTTGTGTCAAGTTTGAGGGGATCTAAACAAATAGACTCAAGTGAAGACAATAAATCTGAAACACAAGCACTTTCATCGTCATGTAACCCTCTACGGAAACCAAAATCCTAGTTTAGGGCCACAGAAGAATCTAAGTAGGAAATAAAACTGGAAACCAACTCTTCCTTATAAAGGGAAAGAAAGTAAAGAGAGGGAAAAAGGTTTTTAAGAGGTTGGTTGCTCGCCCAAATGTCTTCCCAAAAAAAAAACATTGTTTCCAGAATTAACATCATACCTGACCAGATTGAGAAAAAGGGGTAGAATTCTGTGAATGGCCTTCCAAGGTGTTGCAAGAGTCGCCCTTCGAGATACCCCGACATCCCAACCGTTCTGCAAACAGCCATGATACTATTCACCTCCTTGTGCCACAACCTCTCTCTCTCTCTAACGGCCATCTCCAAAGCCACTTCCCTAGTAGAGCTTCATTCTTAAGTACTAGATTTTCCAATCCTAATCACCCTTCTTCCTTACTCCTGCTGACTATCTCCCACCTAATCAAATGATCCTTCTTCTCTTCCCCTGACTCCCACAAGAAATTTCTAGCTTCTTGGCTTCCCTTGAGGGTATCTTGAATGCAGAAAGAAAATAAACTGGAAGACTAGCAAGTGTCGCCCTAATCAAGGTCACTCTACCCCCATCGAAATGTAACGGCCATCTGTATTTGGGTTTCCTTCTACCTCTAGTGCCAAAATATTGTAAATGCCATACCCCTATTTCACACCCCGAAAGCCTAACTAGAAAATCCACCTCTTCACTCCCTAAGTTCACTCCTACCACATAGCTCTTGCTCCAGTTTACATTAAGGTTGGAGATTCTCTCAAAATTATTGAAAAGCCTCTTTAAATTCAAAAGCTCTTTTGCTCCCCTTCACAAAACGATATAATATTGTCTGCAAATGGTTAGATGTGTGGCCACCACTTCCTCCCTCCCAGTCCCAGCTCTCCAACATCTAAGAAAATTAATAGTATCTGCCCTTAAAACAATTTCACTTAGTACATCAACTACTAATGTAAAAAGGAAGGAGGATAGAGGATCTCTTTGTTTAAGGCCCCTTCTAGCAGGAAAAAAAATCACTAGCTACTCATTCACCAAATGGAAAAATGACTGGATGAAATGCAACCTTTCACCCATCTAACACCATCTTGCTCCAAAACCCTTGTGGTTGAGAACTTCCATAAGAAAATCCCAATGTACCATGTCATAAGCCTTTTCTAAATCCAACTTACAAACCAGTCCCAATGTACCTTGGAAATGATTTTATACATGCTTCCCACCAAACTTACAAGACTTAAATCCTTCAATTGAATTGCATCAACTTTCTTTGATATCAAGGCAATAAAATTTGCATTCGCTATTGAGTTGAATTTACCTCTCAAAGAATTCTTCAAAAACCTCCATTAAGTCATCCCCAATAGTTTTGATAGAAAGCCATCGTAAAATGATCAGGCCCAAGGGCTTTATATTGCTCAATTAGAAATTTGCATTTTGCACTTCTTGTACCTCAAAATTCTTTTCCAAAGTGTCCAACAATTCTCTATTCTCAACCCTCCATTCCAGATCCTCTAAATCTTCTCTTTAACTCCTTGGACAATCATAAAGTGCCTTTAAGTGGTTCGCAAAGGCTTGTGCTATATCCTCATCCCTTGTCAAAATTTGTCCATTCTCCTCCAACTTCAACACTAAAAATTTCCTTCTACCATTCACCAACAAATGGAAGAATCTAGTGTTTCCATCCCCTTCCCTAATCTGCTTGCATCTATATTTCTATCTCCAGCTAATCTCCTCTTTTCTTAGAATCTCCTCCAGATCCTTTTTTAACCTTCATCTTTCTTCCCTATCTTTTGCCATCAATCTTCTTTCAACTTCCAAACTATTAACTCCTCTAACCTACAAATAATCTCCAATTTTCTTTCCCCAACTCTTCCAAAAACTTCTTTGTTCAAACCTGGATTCTTGCTTTCAACAACTAGAATGTCTTGTAGACTCTATACCCCTTCCATATAAACCCTATTTGATCCTCTTCCCACCACTCCTTCATCCTTAGATAAGAAATCAAGGTGAAGTAGCCACATACTCTCAAACTAAATAGGCATGCACCACCTCCCACCCTCTTAGGCCAAGGCCAAGCTAATTGGGCAATGGTCTGAAACAGGTCTCGACAAGGTTGTGACAACTAAACCCCTCCACTCCACTTCTTAGTCAACAGTAAAAAGGAATCTCTCCCTCCCTCCCTCTCTCTAGTGGCAGGCTTGTTCACCATAACAGCAAAGTGTTTTTGATAAAAATTGTAAGCTAGATGGACCAAACTACTTAGAGTGCACAGTCTGTACACATAAACATTAGTGGGCATGATGTTACATTTCAGGAAGTGTTGCAGAACCAATAAATCTGATCCACAGTATGCATGTTGGGTCCTAAAGAACTACAAGTTCGTGTCACGGTTGAATAGTTCCATGCAACCACACATCCATAGGAATAACCTATGGATGAAGCCGGCTAAAAAGGTCTGGTATAGTGTTGGGTAGACCTTTTCACAAGCATTTGATGAAGCAAGAACCAATAGGATTATTTCACCATTCTCAAATCCCACACACATAATCTCTACATAATCCATTTCCCATTGGCATTTCTTTCTCTTTCTTGCTATACATGTATTTTCTATCCATTTGTGTTCTAATCCTATAGGCTATAGCATACTAAACGACCCATTCATGACTTTGTGTCTAATTGGCTCTAGCAATAACCTGCAGTCCTATGGGCTCGTTATCTTATGAATTCTGACAGAACCAGAGCATTCATTATATTCTTTTTGAATTTTGACTTTCAGTTTTAGGGCCTATTTTGATTGCAAGATAATAAATGTACAAAATATATGGTTTAGGTGCTTAGATGAACTTTCAAACTTGTTCCCCAAAGGACAGAATTATAAAAACAAACTTGTTCAAATGAAAAGCATATCTCCCAAGAAACAAATAATTGGACCTTATTAGTATAAAACACTACCTCTCCAGAACGAAACTTCTCAACGATGGAATTCATGGTCTTCCGTGACATAGCCTTCATTCCAGAGTGAAGCCCTACAAGGAAGTCACACCGCCAAGCTTCCAGGCACTTTAGCTTCTTAATTATGCATGACAATGATCTTGCAACAATAATCCTATTAACGAAAACTATACATTTCATATTTTCCTGTAACCTGGGAAAAAAGAAACAGAAACAAGAGGGAGATTAAACAAACTTTTACAGAAGGAAATTATGGAGAATATATAGCTTCATCAAAAATATACAGAAAAATCTTGACTTCTGAATAGTTGATGATAAAGGTCAATACAAAGCAGAATACATTAAGAATTGGAGATGAAGTGTATAAAACACAAAATCAGGAACTATCTCTTCTTTTAATCTTTTCCATTAACAGTAGCATTGTATAATTGAACTATATAGTTCGATCAAACCATTTCCAGAGGCCATTGCTTGGTGCTAGGGTAGAATCTTCGGCAGATAAACATAAAAATGCTAACTTAAGTCTGAGAGAAACTACTTTGTGCAAAAATGCCAGAGGGTAGATCTGTATTCTACCCCTTCCAAAACCCCAGATAGATTGGACTGGTACTAGTGACACCTTTTTCAACATTCCAATTAACTTGACTTCTGGATGGACCTTGACTTCTCCCAGATAGTCTGAGAGTAGCTATTAGTGACCCCTTCCAAAGCCCCAGATAGATTGGTTGGACCTTGAGTTTTTTGTGCCTCAGTGAACTTTAATAATGCAATTCCAATGACTGTAATGCTGTCAGCATTTTTTTGTCAATTAAATAAAATTTATTAAAAGGAGAAAAAGAAGATACAAGAAAGGTGACCAGTAGTCACCTGAAAGAAGAAAAAGAAGCCCCAACCCAAGAATCAATCCAAAACCAAACCTCAACAACCACAAACCTAAAAACCAAAGACAACAAACATGCAGCCCCTTAGAAAAAGAAGGGGGAAAAGTCAAAATAGAAAAATGAGAAGGGGAGTCCCTTATTTTAGGCTGGTGAAGATGAAAGGAGAGAAACAAGGCGACAAAGCAAATAGGGGAGATGAAGGATTCAACCCGGTGAAGATGTGGGGACAAGTTCTGGTTAGTGAAGCCAAGTAACTACTCTTTGAGGAAAGAAGTAATAGACAGGTATCCCTGAAGGTTAGGGAAGTTAAGGAAGAGCAAAAGGCTACTATCTTCTCGGTTGGAGATGCAGAAAGTTGGCTAAAAGGCTTTCTTGATTGAGCAATATACTCTATTAGAATGATTGGATGGAAGAGCTACTTGGAGCTAGATTTGAGGTTGAACTGAAGTGGAATAGGAAGAGGTGGTTCATCACAGTTGCAGAGTTCTTTGGAAAAGGAAAGAAGCAAATGATCTGCATTCCAGAAGGAAAGGAGAGCAAAGGCTGGCAGATGGCAGCAGACAACATACAAGACTTTCTGGTTACACTTGAAACAGGCAAGGTAGAGCACCAATATCATAAGAAGGAAGAGGAGAAAAAAAATGATGAAAGGACAAAAGATAACTCTGCTACAAGTGAAAGAGTAAGAGAGCAAGAAGGCCTTGTAGGAAAGAAAGAAGAAACTGTAATCTCTAACTCTCAAAGAGTACAGAAGTTAGAAATGGAGGTAGAGAAAGGAGTCTGGGAAAAAAGATTCGTTCTAATTGCAGGAAAAAATACTCAAGACTAGAAAGCAATGGGAAACTTGATTGTGGAGAAGTTCAAGATTAGCTCCAAGGCTGTAATAGTACTTTTCAGCAAGACAAGAGCTGCTCTTGATATTGGAGATGAAACCTTGGATTTGTCACCGATTGAAACAGAGGAGGGATTGGTTACAGTGGAGAACTGGCACATGTCCTGCAACAAAAGAGATATTGGTGAAGAAAGATCAATGCTGAAGATCGTAGGGCTTCCTTTCAACTTCTAGAAGAAATCAATCATCGAAAGGATAATAAGAACCTTGGGTGGAATCTTGAAAGACCTTGACTTGCATGATCTGCATGCAGTGAAGGTGAAGATTGTGGGAGTGAAACCAGAGGACATCCCTCGATCTTTTGCTCTCCTTGCCAATGGTCTATGGAGGAAGGTTTGGCTAACTGATGGGAGTCAAAGCGGCACTGTGGATAGGGTGTTTCAAGAAAGAAGAAGAGATGGTGAGGTGGCAAGCTGGGGTCTACATGGGCGAAGGGGAGAGGACAAGGAAGACAGGGGAAAGGTTTCTGTTTTCTTGGTAAAAAACACAGTAAAGATTCAGAACAGTGAGAAGAGAGAAGAGAGAAGAGATTTGAAATCAAAGCTACCACTGGCAGCGCCAGTCTTTTTAGTATTTATATTAGGGCGACCCACTCTAATAATAAAAAGATAAATTTACATGTGTGCCCCTGTGGCACTAAAATAAAGAAAAACTGACAGATTCAACACTCCCCCTCAAGTTGGGACATAGATATCAATCATACCCAACTTGTCATATAAATCATTGTGCCGCAAGTGATGTTAAGCTCTTTGTAAATATGCCTGCAAGTTGCTCCTTAGAACTAACACATGGAGTACACAACAATTTTTCTCTAATAAAGTGTTTGTCTACCTCAATATGTTTAGTTCTATCATGAAGAACTGGGTTGGCTGCAATGTTGATGGCAGCCTTGTTATTACAATACAAGGACATGGGACTATCGATAGGAAAACCCAGCTCGCTCAACAAATTCTTTATCCACATAGCTTCAACCACTCCATGAGACATTGCTCTATACTTAGGGCATGTTTGTTTGCTCTGAAGTCTGACATCTGAAAGTGCAATAAGTACATTAAGAGGTATATTAGTATTAGTGAACTTTGCTTTCCTCTGAACTCTAAATACAAAGAATGTTCTGAATTCTGAATTTTGAAAATTATCAAATATCCATTTTGACCCCATATATGAGAGTTTTTGTTTGTTTTTTTGGGGGTATCATTGGAAAACAAAAAGTTGTATGATTACACTTTAAGAGATAAGAGATAAGAGGAAACGAACAACCATTTTTCTCTTAAAGTTAAAAGATTCCTCTTAAGAAATAAGAGTTAAGAGGAAACGGACAGGCCCTTAGCTTCGGCACTAGACCTAGCCACAACACTTTGTTTCTTACTTCTCCATGTGACTAGGTTTCCTCCTATAAAAGTACAGTACCCACTATGGATTTTCTGTCATCAACTGATCCGGCCCTGTCAACATCCGTATATACTTCAACCTTCAAATGCTCGTTCTTCTGAAATAGTAAACCAGCTCTTGAAAACTTCTTTAGATACCTGAGGATTCTCTAGCTGCCTCTAAGTGTGTGGTCTTAGGAGAATGCATGAATTGACTAAGTATACCCACGGCATAAGCAATGTCTGGCCGGGTCATGGACAAATACAAGAGACTTCAAGTCTCTAGAATTGCTTTACATCTTCGATAATCTTACCACAACAGTCACCCAGTCTATGATTTTGATCAATAGGAGAGCCAGTTGGCTTAACTCCTAATTTTCCTAAATCTTGTAACAAATCTAGAATATATTTCCTTTGAAAAATGAAAATCCCCTTGTGAGCGGGCCACTTCAATTCTAAGGAAATACCGTAATGGACCTAGATCCTTCACCTCAAATTTAGTGGCCAAGAGGTCCTTTAGCCTTTGAATTTCAACTTTCCAATCACCTGTGATCACTATGTCATCAACATACATTATCAAGGCTGCAATCTTTCCTTCTCCTCTTTTCACAAATAATCTATGGTCTGTCAGACACTATTTGTAGCCAATATGCTACATAGTCAGATGAAACTTGTTGAACCAAGCTCTTGGTGATTTTTTAGTCCATACAAGGACTTCTTTAACCTACACACCTTTTGTTCTTTGCCTTGGGCACTAAAGCCTGGGGGTTGAACCATGTACACCTCTTCTTCAAGGTCACCATTCAAGAAGGTGTTTTTAATATCTAGCTGATGAAGATCCCAATCAAGATTTGCAGCAAGAGAGAAAAGAACTCTGATGGAATTCCTCTTAGCCACTAGAGAAAAAGTCTCTGCATAATCTACTCCATACACCTTAGTAAACCCTTTTGCCACCAACCTGGCCTTGTAACTTTCTACTGTGCCATCAGCCCTATGCTTCACTATGAACACCCACGTACACCCTACTAGTTCCTTACCCTCAAGAAGATCCACTAACTCCCATCTACCATTTTTATGTAAGGCATTTATCTTTTCTGTCATTGCCTTTATCCATTCAGGTACTGAGAGGACCTCTACCACATTTTTAGGGATAGGGACACTCCCAATGGATGAAAGAAAAGCACGAAAAGAGGATGAGATATTCTCATAGGAGACAAAATGGGAGATAGGATGTTTGGTGGTACAAGACCTAACCCCCTTCCTTTGTGCAATAGGGATGTCTAGGTCATTAGAAAATGAAGTATCAATAGCAAGAGGGTCAGGAACATCAATAGGAATAAGAGTACCTGGTTGGATAGGATTTGTCCCCAATGAATCTGATGATGTTGGTGGTACAGTTTCAAGTTGCTCCACAGCCCTTGAATTTGGCTAGTCCTTGTGGCGATAAAGAAAAACATGGAACAAAGGAGGGTCGGGCAAAGGAGGAAGAACCTGGACTCGTTTTTCTCCTCCACCTTACTCTCTCCCTGAGGAAAAACGAGGAAAAAAATACCACTCTCAAAGAAAGATACATCCATAGAAACATAGTAATTTCTGGAAACGGGGTCAGAACACTGTTAACCCTTTTGAGAAGAAGGGTAACCCAAGAACACACAGGGAATAGTATGAGGATCAAGTTTACCACGAGTAGGACACAAGTCTTGAACAAAACAACGACAACCAAACACACGGATAGGAATGGAGAAGAAGGGAGCTTTGGGAAATAGGAGTTGATGAGGGGCCTTGTACCCTAACAAGCGAGTTGGCATACAATTGATAAGGTAGGCAGCACATAACACGGCATCCAACCAAAAACTTTTAGGAACATTCATGTGTATGAGTAACCCACGAGCAACTTCAAGGAGATGGCAGTTTTTTCTTTCGGCAACACCATTCTGTTGGGGGATTCTAGCACAAGAGCTACGATGGATGGATCCACACGAAGCAAAAAACTCCATGAGATCAGTATGAAAATACTCTTTGGCATTGTCTGATTGGAAAATTTGAATCT